CAAATAGACTGAATCCAGCAGCCTAATCAGCTAATAGCTACATGCAAAAATCAATTATTAGAAATGTGTTTAAAGTAAATACCTAACCACCTACTACTGGAGGCACAACATCTACTGCTGAGAAGCAATAATTTCCTGCTTCCCACTAGAAATGTCACAATATTCCTTGAAAATTGTGATGCTGCTGAACATCAGTGATACAGTATTAGGTTGAACACCCCTACTATAATATATAGTGGCCATACGCTGATTTTGCCAGGTGCAAAATGAAACATTTATTCTTTCCAGGGTAAATATAATTAGCTGCTGCTTCATTATTCTACTAAAAACAACAAGGAGCCTGGTAGCACCTTAAAGACTAACAGTTTTATTATAGCATAAGCTTTCATGAGTTACGACTCACTTCATTTGAGGCATGAAGTGAAAGAAACAGATGATAGGGATACGTGGGAGTGTTACATCTCAATATCCCCACCATCTATTTCTTTCATGGACAAAGTGAGCTGCAATCCATAAAAGCTTATGCCATAAAAATTGCTAGTCCTTAAGATGCCACTGGACTCCTTGTTGGTTTTGCTGAAACAGACTAACATGGCTACCTCTTTGAAACCATTATTCCACTATTAGAGAAAGTATTGTTTGCAGCAAAATATCGCCATCTTTATGGGTCAACTGGCACATTACTTTGTATGCACAGGGTCTAAATTAATGCCCAGTAGCTCAGTCTCCTTTTAATAATCTTGGAGTGGGATTCACAACGGTTTTTAGGTGGCTAACTCCCACTGAAAACAACGGGAGGTAGGTGCCTAAGTAACTTTGTGAATACCACCCTTGGGAACATATCATATTGATTTATAATATTCTGTAAAGGTAGATTGTTCAGATAACAGGGCAAATTCTGTGCTGATTTATCCCTTTTCAAACATGTTGATTACATAGTAGTTTGGCTGTGAGTTTAGTATGCTGATTTAGTTACATGTCTCTCTCTCTCTCTCTCTCTTTTTCTCTCTCACTGCTTAATGTGTACCTGAACCTGCAAGGGCAGAAGGCTAGCTTCTCCAGTTTTGGCATGACCCCAGACCATCTGGGATTGCAGTATCAGTTATGAAAATATTAAAATTCTCGTGAGCCCCAGAACCTAATTGCTTGACCTCTGACACTGCTTTTGTTACAAATTAAGCAACACACGCACAGACAGGAACTGCCTGGCTGCAGTGGCCTTTCCTATCTGTGGGAAATGGGGAATGTCTGTACTTTGGACCATAAATAGAAAAGTTGAACTGTAGTCCTCGGTCTGGCTAAAGCCCCAGTCTAATACTGGAAGGGTGGCGAAGCACTGGAATGGGTTATCTAGGGAGGTGGTGGAATCTCCATCCCTAGAGTTTTTAAGTCAAAACCCTGGCTAGGATTATTTAGTTGGATTTGGTCATGCTTTCGATAGGGAGCTAAACTCGATAACCTCCTGAGGTCTCTTCCAGCCCTATGATTCTATGATCTCCCTCTGGTCACATGGCATGCGCTAAAGGGCCACAGATTTGTGTTGTTGTTTTTTGTTTTGGTTTGGTTTGTTTTGGTTGGTTGGTTTTTTTTGGCATGACCAAGACACTCCCACTTCCAGGTACTTATTTATGTAGGCCTGGTTTGACATGAGTAAACGGACATAGGTATGGCCTCATTTCTTGGGAGACATAATAAGGGAGGTAGATGGGACAGTAAGCTAAGAAACAAAATGTCTGAACTAGCATAGATTAGAGGGAAGAAGAGGTTTGCTATGTAACTTTAGATCTGTGATATGCCCTGTATCCACCCTTATACAATCTAACAATCAGCCTCAAATGTATGACAAAAAAAGAAACCTCAGTGATGAGTTTGGAGCTGAGTACAGTACTTGGGAATCAAATAAATAAGATACCAATAGTCTCAACAATTGTAATGGACAAATGAAGATAAACACATGTCCCCAAGACTAAACAGCTTACACTCCAAATGCAGTCCCCTATCATATCTACTTATTGGGTATCCAATAAATTAACAAAGAAATTCTGTGGGAAATAGGTAGATTAAGGACCAAATTCCGACCTGATGAAACCTAGTGTTGTCACCTAGATCTTGTTACAGTAAGGGCATATGTAGACTACACTAAACTTTTGAAAGAGTTATGCAAATTCCCATGGAATTTGTATATCCTCTTTCGAAAGTTTAGCGTAGTGTCTAAACGCCCTCTGTGTGTTTAGATTTACTCTGCTGATGGGTAATAAGTCACACTGAAGTGTGATTAGTCTCACATGCAAAGGCTTTGTAGAAAGGTGCAAGTTAAAACAGGGCTGAAAGGCTTAATGGTGTATTTTGTGAAATGATTGTAAACAAACTCAAGTAAGTAAACTAAAGTAAAGTGTGAATTAACATAAGGTGACATATGGACATTTTAGTATCACATTTTCAATTTGGTTGGTCACCTTTGGGCCACTCCCATAACACAAAATTATCATTAAACCAGTGTAACCAGTTAGTGTAGGACTTCCCGCACACAAATAATCAGTGATTGGCTATTGCCTGTATATTGGCTATTGCCTCATCTCCCTCCTGGTCACAGCTACAGTGTGTACACAGTGTGTTGGGCCAGGACAACATCACACATCAGTAAACCCCAGATACTGGAGTTGCCTATTGAAGTAGTTGGCTGCTGGTGTAAATTAGAGCAGTCCTGAGGCTGCTCCAACTTGCATCAGCAACTGGACCAGCACCAATTAGTGGGGCATAAACGTTGCTAACAGTCAGGTCTGAGCACTTCTTTTCTGGAGCTCAGCCAAGCTCTTCTTTGCTGCAGAGCAGAACCCTGGCCAAAGAATGCACTTTAGTGGTGATTGTTTTCCTACTATGTCAAACAAAGGGGATTTTACCCTCTTAAAACTTTTTGAAAATGGTACAGTTTGAATTAACTCATACAGTTTGTTTGTCATTCCCAAAGGGCTGGTACCGTTTTTGGTGCCAGCTGAAGAAAGTGAACAGCTTTGGCTTGAGAAAGGATCCAAAAACTATAGCTGACTTTCCCATGGAGCTACTGAGCAACATGGGAGAAGGTTCTCTACTGCTCCCTTTGAGTTCCCTGAGTGTCAGCTCCAAGAATAGATTTAATAATATTAGCATGGCATGGAAACACAGAGCGAGATTTTATTTGCACTAATGGAAATAAAGACACACATTTTCACACTTCTTTTGGAAAGTAAGATTCAAGCGGATATGTGCAGTTAATATTTATAGTGCTAACGAGAAAAATATTTAACATCTTTTAGTTTTTGCATGTGTGGAGAAACAGATTTTTTAAACATAAGGGATGATTTTAATGAAAAATAGCATAACTATAGGTCTACCATACACAGGGTATCACTTAAATTTAAGTTACCTTTCTCAGGATCAGGAATCTTTTATCCCTCATACAAAACACAGATTTTCCTTTTCCTAGAATACCATTTTAAAATGGACTGCCTTTTGAAGAAAAACTATGGGTGTGAAATTTAAAAAAAATATTTGCAAATTAATGTAAATCTTCAGAGGGCCCCCAAATAGGTTGACAAATCCATAAACTCCAAGAGGTTTGCCCACTTGTATCCATTACCCTCAGAATAAAATGGAAGGATACAAAATAAATGTACTCAGATTTTTTATCTTGATTCATATGATTTAATGTAATTAATCAAGTTAATTTTAATGCGTTGGAACTTTCTGGGAGAATGAGCCAGATTTTTCATCTAAATACTGTTGCCCAACATAAAGGGTTAATCACAGGGATAAAATGAGAAGTTGTTGTGGCTAATATTGCTCTAAATCATATTGGTATAATCTGAAATAACTCCATTAAAAGTTAATTGAGAGCTACTCCAGATTCACATCAGGGTAATTTAGAACAGTAAGAGATTGACCTCTATATTTTTTCCCACAGTATATTCTGTTACTTAGTATAAATAGATATCTTTTATCCCACACATACAACTCGGGAATACCTATTTACATACAGAAATGATATTTTGTATCATCTTGTCATGTGGTGTTGTGAAGAGGGAAGTGATGATTGTATCTTCCAAAGAAAAATTAAGCCTAAATGCACAATAAAATGTATTAAATATAAAAAAGAAGAAAAGGGGCTTATAGCAAATCCACTAGCATAACAACATTATGAGCATAATGTCAAAATAGAGCTTTCATTCTCAATATAATTTCTGTGATAAAGTTTCTAATTCATATCCATCTTCTGTCTCAGAATAGCACATTTTGTTACTCATTAGCAAAGAACCAGTCCTGGTCCCACTAAAATTAATGTTGAAATTCCCAGTGATTCTAAAGGAACTGGAGTAAGCTCCATGATGCTTTATTAATGTCAGATAATTATCAAAATAACATCAATTGTTCTGTTTGTGTTCTGTACAAGACTTGCTTTTACTCCTACATTTTAAAGCAGAGCTTAATCATCCTCCATATCATGAGCCCTCAAACTTCTCACCGAGGTCGGTGGGAGCTGTGAGCACTCAGGGAGTACAAGTCTGACAAATATTCATTGCTCTCCCAGACTTACTATAGTTGAATGTCTCCCAAATACAAAGAAAAACTGAAGGTAAAAATCATAAGGAACAATAATATATGATCCAAACCAAATTCTTGTAAAACATTCGGCTCTCAGTTACACCATTCTGCCTCTGGAGTAATTCTGCAGAAGGCACTGGATTTATTCTGAATTCAGAACTCTGTGTTTGGGAGCAGAATTGTAACCATGAGCTGAGTTACCCTTTTTAGCTGCTATAAATGACTGGCTTTTCTTACTGATATTTTCCATTACTAGAGGTCCTATTTCTGCCAGTACTTCTTACATTAAAAACCAATAGTCAGATGCAGAATGACTGATCTTATTAAGTCTTTAGCAAGAATTCTCTGCTTGGAAAGAAATTTTGTCTACCAGACTGGAGACTAATTCTGTTCAAAATGTAAGATACAGAAACTTAAAGTACCTACTCAGTAGTTTGTTCCTCATCAAACGTCAGAGCAATCTGCAGTTCCCGTCCATTAGTGACCCATTCCACATGAATCCCTGCTAGTTCAGCTTTCGCACATTTGAGCCTGACTCTACGTTGCAGCTGTCTGGAAAACTCTTCACCAGCAGGATGATGTAAACATTAACTATTCCGAAAAGATAAGCAAATAATAAATCTTTCCTTAGACATGCTACCAATACAGAGGAAGATAAATGTTTTTTTGTTAACTCCATGCTAGGACCATGGAAATAAGTGTACTAAATAAAGACAAGTGTTGATTGTGATCTAATTGCAGGCATGCCTGGTAGCACTACAGGTTGGACCTCCCTGGTCTGGCACCCTCGGGACCTGACTGGTCCTGGATGAGGAATTCTTTCAAGCCAGGGGAGGTCATTTCTGGACCCCCTGCTGCCAGCCTTCCTAGCCAGCTTCTCACCTCCTGCTGGCCCTGCTGCCCTGCTATGGAACCCCAAGGGCAGCCACATGCGTTGCTCTGGGCCTTGGGGTCCTGCCATGCAGCTGCACAGCTCTGGGGATCCAGGACCTGCTAGGCAGCCATATGCCACGGATCCCAGCCCTACTGAGCTACCGCCGCTCACAGCCCCGCCGGGCAGCTACACACATATCTCCCAACCCTGCTGGGCAGACCTGCTGCCATGTGCTAATGATGGGCTCACTGTGAGCAGCCCACTGCCCTGCCAGCCCCTCAGGGATCCTTGCCACTGGCCCTCCACCAGGACTCTCTGGTCCTACAACATCCATACCAGAACATAGATGTTGCTGGACCAGAGAATCCCGGTTAAGAGAGTTTCAACCTGTAGACTCATAATTAAATCCACAATTGAATAGTAGTCACCACAAGCTAAAAGGAAATGTTATCACAAAATTTTTCATAGTCCACCATAGAAACTTTGCATGACTGTAAGTTTCTATTGTACTTTGTATAATTCATATGAAATCACATTTGATAAAAAAATATGTAACAGGACATGGCTGTAGGGTTTTATTATCTTTACAATGAACAAACAAAAGAAACCTTAGCTATATTATGATTCTTTACTAGTCTGTTTTGCTCACGAGACTACAAGCAGTTCTTGGATCTTATATAATGCAGGCAATAAAAAGGCACTTGTAAGCCATTATATTTTAGTCAGAGAGCAAAAATGTCACTGAATTTATGACCGATCTTAGCTAAGTCAACAATGTTTGGCATCCTATTTTTTAACACTATCATTTTTACAACTTCGTTTAGCCATGTTTCGATACCTTCTGTTAAGGAGCATTTCAAAAGTACTGCCTTCTTCCTGAGTGATCAGATATGCCATGGACAGGTGGATCTTGTTTGCATTGGCAAGCATTCTGGATGTCAGGAAGAAATATTGACAAGTGAATAGCAAACCATTCCAGTTCAGAAAAGACTATAGTAAATTTTCCTCACCTTTGTGGTTCATTAGAACACCATCTGGAGCTGCTTTTAGAAACCAGACAAAGTAAGATGGACTTTATTAATTGTATATAAAATGTACAACTGTTTCAAGTCTGGATCTGTCAAGCTTCAGTTTGCAACTATTGGATCCATTTCTGCCAAATGGCCATTCTCTAACAGAAATCTCTCTCTTATGAATGTACTTGGAGACTGTGATCAAGTCAATTGCTCTTGGGTAAAATAAATAGATCGAGTTTCTTAATCTCTAACTCTGTTTTCCACTTGTTGTCATGGTCAAGGCTCTCTTCTGAACCCATCCCAAATTTTCAATATCCTCTTTAAAGCATGGATACAGTATTCTTCCAGGAGTGGTGTCATATACAACAGAAATACCACCTTATTGCTCCTACTGGATATTCCCCTCCTTATAACTCCAAGGATTGTTTATTGTAATAGCTACAGCATTACATTGGGCTCTCCTGTTCCATTAGCTATCCCTCATAACCTCTAAGAGTATGTCCAATCTGCAATGAAGCATCACAATTGGCCTGCGTGATCTCACTCAGACTAATTTGGTGTGCCTTGTGGGTAACTACTTGTAAAGTTTAAAATGTTTAATAATATAGTCAAGGAAAGTATAGAAGAATAGAATTGTACAAATGTACAATTTTCTGCACTTACAAGTATCACAAACAGCTGAGGCTTATTAGTGTAAAGAGAAGAAATGAAAGCTGCCTACGTGCTGCATAAGCCACTCTTCCACCAAAAGCAGGATGTTAACAATCCAGGAAATTAAACTGCATAAAAATTGTTAAACAAACTGCTTGAAAAGAAAAAGAACTTTACTTACCAGAAAATAGCAAAGACTTAGCAACCCTTAGTCGTGGAGACTGTACTCTAAAATCTGTACTGTCAGACTGACAGACACTGTGCTTTTAATTCCTAATTTCTAAGTCAACAGGGAGAAACAGGAAGCTGCATTTTTTATGAGCAGCTAACGAATTACAGAAAACTAAATAAATAAATTAAACCTATAGGGGAAATGCATGTGAGTGTTTTAGAGGGAAAAAAAGGAAGTGGTAAGGTGAATTGCTTTTGTTGGGATAATATTAACGTTGAAATATCTCAGAAGGGACAGTCATGTTAGTCTGTAACTTAAAAAAAACTTTAAAACCCCAACAAGTAGTCCTGTGGAACCTCAGAGATTAAAAATATATATGTATAGTATCATGAGCTTTCATGCGGAAAATCCACTTCTTCAGATGAGATCATCTTGATCTGCTTTTTTTTTTTTGTATTATACTTTCATTCTTCAGTAAATAATTGTACTGAAGAATAAAAGCATAATACAATAGAAAGCAGATATTCTGGCTTATTCTATGAAACCTTGTGACCAATATCCTATGCATTAAAGAAGCAACAGCAATTCTGATCCAGACAGAAGCATCCTTTAGTATGGGCACTGTTTAATAGCTTCCCAGATTGTCCAGTCAGTACCTGGACAGATCCTTTGGCACATGGTGGCACTTTTAAAAAGTGCCCTGAGAATGAGGCTCTTTCAGCAGATGAGGCTCCATCATAGGGTCTTTGAACTCTTAGAGCTGGGTAAGCCTAAATGTGTTTTATTCCTAAAGTTTAATGTGTAGGTCAGAGTAGTCCCCACTCCTATGCTGACTTTCTCAATGAATCAGTTTTAAATTTGAATCTGAAACAGATTTAGGTGAGTTAATAGTTATCACGCACTTGTGTTCTATTCTAGAGTTTAAAGATGCAAGGAAATATATTTGGCTGTTAATTAATTTATTAGACCTCTTTTACAGGTAAATCTGGAACAGTTAATGTTTTCAACCTTTAGATTTCCTGGACCTGATCCAACAATGTTGAGTCCATTGATGATATGGTTTGGTAAAATGTTGAAATTACTAGTCCTCAGAAAAACTGTATAAACCCGAGTGAATGAATGCCTTTTATTCTCTTTTCCAGTGTCAGTAAATATTGTATTAATATTTGCAGGTATAGCATGACTATTTCTAGTTGAATCATAGATTTGTTTAGCATCTTAAAGCTGAGTTATGTGTGAATAATACACATTTTGGTGTGTTTACTAGCTTGAGTTATTAGAAAGGATGATAATATGTGTACTCCATGTTAATTTTCTTTTTATCTGATTTCATATTAAATAAACATCATAAGCATTGCTCCTTGTTAATTATCCCTTGTTTTAATGTATTTTCTTCCACACCTACAGACTGCTTAAAATATATATTTATATCTAGGTTTTTTGTTTGTACCGGTGGTGCACATCCACAAAGTACCTCATTATTGGCGTTGAAGATAAGAAAGTTCTACCCGCTCAAGGAAAATTCAACCCTCCAAGGATGGAAAATGTTAGAGAGAATACTGGCAACATCTGATGTGTCCTCTTCACAGCCTTTTTGCCTGTGTTCTGTCATCTTGAATGAAGATAACATCTACAATAAACCCAGTAATGTACTCCTCTAGTAGTATAGCACCTAAATGACAATTCCTCCGATGGCCTGTTGCTCTGAAGAGGGGTGTCAGTGCATTGGTAAATACAATATGTTTGTGGTGGCCAGGAGAATGGTACCGACAGAATCAGTCACCATCATCATTGGCAACCTACCAGATTAACTATACAGGAGGCTTGTTTGTGAATGATAACCCTAAAAGGGTGGAGTCCAAAGGAAAGTAAGACACAAATGTATGTGTTACATGAAAATTAGAAGAATTAATTAGCCACAGGTAACTGCTATTTAAAAGTGAATAAGGAAGAAGTTGATAGGTAGACACAAAATACCAAGACAGTTGACTGACTTCTCAGTAAGTGGAAAGTAATTATATACATTGCTGTATACTTACTAAAGTAGAGCATTATTATAAGATTGCATAACATGAAAAACAAACATGAGGCATTACATGAAATTCTTATCTTAAAGTGATGGCAAAGGTGTGAACTATCAATAGTAACATCACGAGGAAATGCAATGAGGGTTCAGTAAGCCCTTTTTCTAGTACTTCTGGTAAAGTATTACTGTTAACAACAGTTTAGGTGTTCCACTCTTGTTTTTCAGAAGTCCATCAGTTAACACATAGTGAAATAAAGAATGAAAAATAAACCATTAACAAAGCAGTAATATGTTCTAGTATATAAAAGACATGGATTTATAACTTAAATGTTAAATATTTGTAAGCAGCATTTTAACTAAAGATAGTTATAAGAACATGACTGGACCTAAATTGCTCTCACAAGTCAGGATAGTCCTGTGGTTAAGTCATTGGAATGATCTCAGTAGAACTGTGAGAATATTAGATTTTCCAGTTTGCTGGAAATTTAAAAAAAAAATAGTTCATGTCAAATGAAATGTTTCATTTTGACAAAATCAGAAAATTTCATTTTAATGCTGATTATCTTTAAAAACTAAAAATAAAGGAAATGTTTAATACAAAATAATTTAATATTTTAATATTTTGGACATTTTATAAAGAAAGTAATCCCGTGAAACGAATAGAGAGGTATGAAGCATTTCAGCATCACCATATATGCATTTCTCAATGAAAGCACATTTTGGCTGAAATATCACCCAGTTCTCCTATATGGCCTTGGAGCAGTCCTTCAATCTTTCTTCCTCACTTCCCAGGTCTGAAATGATGATAATACCCTCCACCTCACACATAGGAAGTTTCCATGATGAATTCATCACATATTTATGAGCTGCTTCCAAGGATGCAGGCTGATAAATACCTAAATAGACAGTTACACTTGCAAGTCTTCTAGGAGCTTCTGTTCAAAGTTCTAAAGACATTGGAAAAGAGGGAGTGAAAAAACAAACATAACTCACAATCATCATTTTAAAAATATTCCAGTCTGCTAATAAAACCTCACTTTGACCCTGGTGCTTCTGAAGTTACTTCATCACGATGGAGTCATATTTAGAAGCACTTGAGAAAACTGTTACGGCTAATAGCTACATCTCATGAGCCTCATTAATAAGCAGTCACACGTTTGTGATTCTTACGTCAATCCTGAAAGCGCTTAGAGGCTCTTTCTAGATCTTGGCAAAGTATGTTATTTAACGGCCAATTTGCTCAGGAACTATAAGAGACAAAACAGTCAGTCATCCTTTGCCCTGAGCAAGAAATTTTAGTAGCAACTAATTATTTTGGATGCCTCAGATTTCCAGATACTCATTTTGAGGCACTCCCTCCTAAAATCAAACCCCTTTTCAAAATGTCACCACTTGGGCACCTAAAAATTGAGGCAAACAAAATCACTAATCACTTTTGAACAGTTAGGCTTTCCTGTTCAGAACTGAGCAGAAAGCAATAATCCCATTACAAAAACTGTACAAAATGAACATGATCATTTCTATAAGGTAAACTTCCACCATTCTCATGAGAAAAAAACCCCCTCATTTCAGTTTATTTACTATAATTTCTCCTTAGAGTTAATTAACATTTCACTCAATCCCTTATGAAGAATTAGTCGAAAGTTTCCAAATAAAAACGTGGTAAAAATGTGTTATTTTTAAAATAAAAATAAAAATAATCTATTAAAATAGTAAACAATTAAAACCCCAAAAATGTCAACATGAATTGTGATACCTTTACTTTTCTATATGTACTGCTACTTTCTAGGGGTATGTCTACACTACAGCATTATTTTGAAATATCTTACTTCGAAATAGTTAATTCGAAATAAGTTATTGTGAAATAACGCATCTACACACAAATAGCGTTTTGCTATTTCAAAATAGCACATCCACACTGAGTGGATGTTGAATCGCATTTAAGGCTGGCTGGAACCAGGTCCAGCAGGGCATCAGGTCAGGAGTTACTTTGTGTGGCTGTTGCCTGAGGCTATCTGAGGCCTGTGTTTAAAGGGATTCAAAAGCATTTTGTCTCTGTGTGTTCTGGTTGCCCTCACTCAGGACACCACAGCATTCTGCAACATGGAGCCAGAGCTGCCCCTGGTCACCCTGGTGCTTCTTGTGGACACGTTGCTGTGAGCCTGGCTGCATTTTCTGCAGGCTGCCATCTGGGAGGTCCATCGGGGGACTGTCAGTATCCAGGATACCCTGCGGGAGAACTTCCACACTGAGGAGCACTAAGAGCCTCCCTGGTCTGTGCTTGTGCCTCATTCCTCCCTCACATCCTTCGACTTACCCCTACCTAGCCCCCCTTGCTGATGTCAAATAAAATACACGTATTTTCATGAACACAAACTCTCTTTATTTAGAAAAACTGTGTGGAGGAATGAAACTCTGTTGAGACTGGGGAAAGGAGGTGGGAGAGGGGAAGAGAGAGAGTGGAAAATGGGAGGGGAAACCTGGGAGGAGGGAGCTGGAAGGAGGAAGCAAGGGGAAGAAGTTCAGGGCTCAGGGTTGGGGGGTCTCGCCAGACCAACTTGATTTTCATGCAAACCTGCTCCTGGGTTCACATGTGGCCTTTGTTGGCCAGGCTGGCAGCCATCCGCCTGTAGACAAGTTGTGTTCCTCCGTTCAGTGCGGAGATCATGAACGTTGGAGGCATCCCCCCAAACCTGAATTAGGTCCCTGATCTCCGCACTGGACCAGGCAGGCACCCGCCTTTTTTGGCCCCAGGCAGGCTCCTGGGAGCTGGTAGACTGGTAGTGAACGTGGCTTCCAATTCAAACAGGCTATATAAGTGCAGTACACATATTTTTTGTACTCAGATTTGTATGTGGAAAAACTCATTGACTGATAGCAACAGGATCAGGTTCTTTATATCTGACAGGCTGATTTCTACTGTTATAAACCAAGCAGAGGCGGCCCGTGAACCTAGGCAAACTAGGCAGTTGCCTAGGGCGCCGCTGGCCCGGGCACCCAATGA